TYCCYKSCCCCCCCTTTCCTAAATATTTTTTAGTTATACATGGRCACAAGATCTTTATTTTATTTATTTATTTTTATATGGTACTCAGGATCAAACTCAGTGCCTTACACGTTCGAGGCAAGCACTCGACTGCTGAGCCACAACCCCAGCCCCTTCCCTGCCCCTTTTTAATTTTATTCTGAGACAGGGTCTCATGGAGTTGCCAAGGCTAGCCTCAAACTGTGATCCTCCTGCCTCTGCCTCCCAACTCACTAGGATTWTAATCACGCACCAACATGCCCAGAGGGAAATAGTTCTTTTTTAATGCAGGTACACACAGAAAATACAACGTGGATCCTTATTCCTTGGTCTTAATTAATTTGTCTTTACCTAATTGAAGCTAAGAATAACCCTGAGGCAGTACTCTTTTCTTTTCTACCAGTTCAAGAAAGAGAGAAATGTTGCTGGCAAATGTAAGCACAAAATCCATATCCTGTAGGACACAACCTAAGTAACACAGATGACTTCCCACAAAGAGGCAGAATGGCTCATTGCCAAACCCTAGATCAGGGTGAAGAGACTTGGGGGGCATTAGTTCCATAAGCTTGGCCTGGTCACTTCCCTCTCTTTTATCAATAACTGTTTGGGATCAATGGTCTCCACCATCCATTACAACCAAGTTTCATCATTCTGGGAATAAAAAGCTAAAATAACAAAGTGTGGTCACTGGACAGTCATTTACATTACATACCTTTGAAGAAGTTAAATGTTCAACAGTGGTATATTAATAACAAATTATCAAACCATACAACAAAATATCATGGAATCATTTCAATAATGTTTACAAGGAGTTCTATTTTCATAAGAAATATTTATACACTTTTAAACAGACAAAAAACACAAAATAGTATACATAGCTGGGAATGGTGGTACATGACTATTATCCCAGAAACTCCACAGGCTTAGGCAAGAAGATCACAAATTCAAAAATCCAAAGGTCTGGGGATAGGTCAGTGACAGACCTCTTGCCTGGCAAACATGAGGCCCTGGCTTTAATACTGCCCCCCCATCCCCTGCTGCCAAAGAGAAAAAAAGAAATGTAAGACATCTGAGAGGGTTGTTTTATTTTTGGACTTGGGGATTGAACCCAGGGCTTACTGCATGTTAGGTATGCCCCCAGTCACTCTGAAAGGGTTTCCAAACCAGGGCTCAGCAAACTATACATAGCCTGTAGATCAAATAAAGCCCATATCCTGTTTGTTTTTGTTGTTGTTGTTGTTTGTTTGTTCTTTGTA